CCAATATTATATGCTTAGTTGAATTTTTAGATTTAGTTAGTTTGTTAGTTAGTTTTTGGAGCATGGTTTTATTCCTCATTTTTCAATTTGCTTACACACATTATTATGTAATGTTTCATAATCTAAATGTGTGTTCAACGAAATAAAACCATGGATTCATTTCACCCAAGCCTCTCTTACATGTTTTTATTTCTAATGCATCAACTGGGCTAATTCTTATTTACATACAGGAAGAATTAATCATTTATATAATAATAAATTTTACCAGAAAAGAGACAACAGACACCGGGTGTTGTTTACAATCCTCAAACAACTCAACCTGGCTACGGACAACCACAGGCTTATGGACAACCACAAACATACGGACAACCACAACCATATGGACAACCGCAGGCGTACGGACAACCATGCACCGGCAAAAGCTTAAATATTGTATGTCAACGAGAGAGAGAGTAGAGCCATAAACATATATTTTTACATTTATACTTTGTATTAAAGGTCATATAATATGTTAATTACATTGAAATATTAAAAGTCTTTTCTTTATTAAATTTGCATGTACATTGCCTTAAGAATTTTATATTTGTATGTACTTGTTACTCAAAATTTTAATTCCATATTCACCATTAACATATATTCATGAAATATATGGAGATAACGAACAGTATTCAAGATCAAAAGTCCATTAAACATTACAAAATAGGAGCAGAGCAAAACTTGTATTCAAAACTTTAGTTTTTAACCTACATATTTTGCAAACAACCATATTAGGGAAATTTTTTATTAAATATTGTCAATGTGTCTGATAAAAACATAAAATAGTATGTGATCATACAGAATATTCTTGAAGGAGATGGGCGAACAAGGCGTGCAAAATGCTTGCAGCTTCAAAAGAATAAAAATCATATTCAACTTGTGAATTTAGCATTTAGATAAAGTTCATTCTATTGAAAGGTAAGAAATTATAGTTATGAGAAACTTCTTTCGGCAAAAATTATTCTATGACTTAAAAAAGGTGGTATTCTTGGGATTCGAACCAAAGCAATAAAAAAACCTTGATATCATTTTTTTGTCTTAGAGACTAACACGCTTACCACTACCACAACAAATAGACGAATAGAGGCATTTACATGCAATTTACGTTTGTGACATGACCCCTGAGAAAATGAAATTCAAATATTTCTCTGAAAGATATACTGTACGTACCTGTGTCAAGAAAGTGTATTTATAAGGTACAGTGGGTCTTTGTTCCATGTTTTTGTTAACCGAAATTTGTATATTTTTACACATATTTTGAGGATAAACTTTGAAAAAAATTGGAGCGAAGACCCTTTCATATATATATATATATATATATATATATATATATATATATATATATATGTTATAGTATGAAAAAATGATTAATTTTGATCTTCTTAGTGTGTGTATGCTATTTTATGGACGAATATTTTTATCTTTGTGAGATAAAGTATACATTAGTGTTCAATCAAGTATCAAAGAAATGTGTGCTACAATTGATCTCTTTAGTGTGTGTATGCTATTTTATAGACGAATTTTTTTATCTTTGTGAGATAAAGTATACATTAATGTTCAATCAAGTATCAAAGAAAATTGTGCTACAATTGAGATTTAAATTTTCAGTTTCTTATTTGTCGCATGCCATAGGTATTTTTCTAGCTCGCCTTGTCCGCTCATCTCCTTTTTTAAAATTATTATTATAAAAGCTCATCTATGACATGTGAAGAAATCCATTTTACAGAGAAGTTTTAGAAATAAAGATTTGTTTCTTAGTTTGTTGTCGTTTTAGTAATTTATCTGCCCCCCCCCCCCCTCCCTCCTTCTGCCTGTCTTCTGTATAGTCCACGTTTTGTTGCTACTAAATATTTTTTAAACTTTCTTGCATCTTAATTTAGACTGCTTAACTAATTTCAAATTTATCTTAACAATCACTTGGGAATAAAAATAAATGTTGTGATATTTTTGCCCCTCCCCCCCCCCCACCCCCCAACCCTTACCCTTTTTCTTAGGAGGGATATTAAAGAAATAAAATAAGTATATTTCGTTTAAGTTTTCTTCCTTTTTTGGACATATACATGTACAGGGTGTTTCACAATATATGTCACAAATCTAAAGGCAGAAAGAAATATTACAACAAAAGCTAAATAAGTATTTTATATATCATTTTCATCAGCAGATATTCAAAATTATTATTTTATTTTAGAAGTATCCGATATTCTCCATTTCAGTTTCTATGGCAACGATTTCCTAAAATGTTATACTGAAAGTGTTTTCCTTACCATTGTCCTAAATAACTTAATAAAAGACTCGTGTTTCAGAAATTTCTGACCACTGCTTTGTACGTTTCACAGAATACTTGACAGATTTCTTGTTTTATATCTAGCTTTTTAGAACCCCCAAAAGTGCAGATTTATTTTTGTATTTAAAGATACATTTAAATAAATGTGTCATTTCAGAACTATTGGTATACTACTAGTGTTGTCCACTTCTTTCGCTCTTCCTTTCAATCAATCTTGCAAACTTCAGCCAACTCTGAATGTCAGTTGGTTTTAAATGCTGCAATGCTGAAATCTTGTATACAGACACACTCAATTCAAATCGAAGATTTCTAGATACACTTGATACACTTGCATTGTCACAATCCATTTCCCTAAACTTGAGCCAACTGACTTTCTTGAGGTTTTCTCAATGATTGACTTCACTTTGACTATGTTCTCATTTCTTCTTGATGTTTTTGGGAAGGCCAGGATTTAAACTGTCTTTCAACTTCACATTATATTTTGTTCAAACTTCTTAATTATCCTTAATAAATGAAAACTAAACAGTGCTTTCTGGTCAGGATATTTTTCTTCATCACACCCTGTACTATATTTAGGATATCCTGCTTATAATAAAAGTTTACAAATTCAAATTTTTGTTGCTAGTTGTACTCCATTTTGAGAACAGCTGAAATTTTACATCACTGATTACATCATCATTGACCTCATGATATTATGAGTTTCCTGATATTTTGAAATATCATGATTTTACATTAATATGATTGTCTGTGGTGTTTTGGTATTTTTGGAATCATGCTTGATATTCAGATTATGTCCATTTAGATGAATGACATATATTATGAAACACTCTGTACATGTTGCAACAAAGTGTTCGCATGATAATGATATTTAGAGAGCTATCCACAGGACTTGCTAAGAACTACATATTAAATATTATTCTCAAATTTACCTTTTAACAAATTCTTTCCAGTCCTACCGTAATGAAGCACCAAATTAAATTTTACCTGTTCTCCTGTGGATACTACCGAATTGTACTATATATATACAGAAAACACAACTAGGTTTGGCATATTGCTACATGAATAACTTATGTATCATGAACATATGTAATAAAGACTTCGTCATATACTTTTTCAGATATATAGCAAGTAGAAAGGCTCCCCTCTTTGATTAAAAAAAAAATTAATTAACATTTTAAATCTTTGCAAATCAAAGCCACTGGTACAGTGTACATGTAATCCAACACTCCATATTTCACTTCCTATTCAAATCTCTAGCTTACTTTTACTAGAAATAAAACAAAACACGGAATATACATGTATAGCTAAATTTTCCCTTCAAAGGGGGAACAACTCTTCCTTCCTTTGCATATTGACACCTGCGACAGTATGTGCCGAGATGGGTTTATTCCCTCTCCCTGCAGAATGGGCAACGAAGTGTACCTTACATATTGGCACATATTGCAGTCGACGAGGATATTTGCTGCCAGCATCTGCATATTTTGTCGCCAAAAGTATTGTTGTGAAAATGTCTACTGGGGTCAAAATATTTTGATTTTAAAGATATGATTAAAATCAAAGATTTTACAGGGAAATGGGGATACGTATCAAAAACATCCAGTAGTTTCTTACATGTATTACACGCCATTCTGTTTTCTTCCGTCATGTAAGTCCTCCCTTTCTATCCTCGAATCCATATATATGTACATGTAATAAGTTTTATTATGTATTTCCAGACAATTAAAGAAAAAAACGCAACCCAGTTGAATTATCGAGGGTCTCGATTTTGAGTACTTGATGAAATTTTAAGTCTCCTGAAAGAAAAAAATACAATGTATCGAGCAGATGCCTATTTTGTAAATTCTACAGACAGGTTTGCATGACAATGGAACAAATGCACACCCGGTCCTTTAATCAAAAACTTCCCTGTTTAACGATAAATATGTTTATGTTTACAAGCTGTTTAAGAAATTTAATGCAAGTAAGCACGTCAACACAGTGTTATGCTATATCTCCTATTCATATAAGAAAAACCCACATACTTTTAAATATAATTTATTTCTGTAAGATTCATTCCAAGACAATATGTTTTGTTACAATATTGTAAAAACCATGCAAAATAAATAGTTTAAGGCAAATATTTCGTTCATTTCATATGTAAGCTGCATTCGAAATGTAATGTACCGAATGCAGTCCTAATCATTTGATAGCCATTTTACATTTAATTTAAATGCCTTCTTCAAAACAACTTAAAAAACTTTGGAGGGTCATAAACTCACAATAAGGCTAACTAGAGCTCTATGAAAAATACAGAATAAATACATGTATATGTATTATATCTATAGGCACATATATTTTACATGTACATCTCTCCCAATAAATACGTAAAATATTTTTTTTACCAATACATAACTTCCATTGCTACATCAAGAAAAATCCAGTAAAAATAATTATGTAGATGTATCAAACAAACAGAGCGACATGCAATATAATCTTCAAAGTTTACCATATTTACTTTTATCAGCTGTTTTTTTTTAATTGATCGAAACTCCTCTTTAGAAACATATTTCTGAAGTGGAAAAACAACCTAATAAATATCCGGGTTCAAAATTATATTTCAAAGTTTATTACTACGCAGATAAGATGACTGCACCTTAAAAATTCCACAACAATGATCCATGTGTACAGGTTATTGCAAAATCAAAATACATTCGCCATTAAGAATCATTATGGATACCTGCAAAATTGTGTTGATGATACTTATATTTTGTTTTATCTACCTTTTTACAGTAACAGACGGTAAGAATTTGTTTTACAGTTTTAATTTATGTTTAAATTTTAATTTATGTTTAATTCAGACTCATTTATCTCCTGTTTCTCGTATGTTTATGACCAAGTAATTCATGAAAATATTTAATTTATTGTGATTTAAAAAAAGTAGAAACGTTATTCAAGTTAATTTGTTAGTATGATGTTATTTATTATGGAAAGGTCTGCTTAGTGATACTGGGACAAGAGAATGTTATTTGGGTCACGGAATACACATGGCACAATTTACACAATTTACATGGGAGGGATCAATCATAGCGTATTCAGTGTTATAAATTCCTAGTAACCTACTTCTAACAGCTAGAAATGATTTTGTTGAAATATAATTCTTCGGGAAATTCAAACTGGGTTATTATCGAAGAAAGGGGATAACAAATTTTATTAAAACGTTTCATACTGCCATGTTATTGTAAAAAAGATTTATTACTTTATGCATGTGTAACGTTTTTGCAAGAATAAAACGTTTGTCATTTTTTAATCATGTGTATTATGACAAAATTCATTAGAGAACTAAAATACATAATTATAATTATTACTCTGTTTCTTTAATTGAGTTTGTCATTATAAAAGAATGGGTGCACTTTTGGAACTACATTCTACAAATTCTAATTGTCAAATTGATTTTTTGAAGTGCTATTTTGAAAATGAGTTTTAGTTGAAGACACTGCGCTTAAAGAATTTGTTTAGGAAAATCGATCGATAGATATACGTGTATACATGTATTTCCTGATATTAAAAATGTAATTCGCTCTCTCTAATTTTAGATAATTAAAATTTAATGTCTAATAGCCACTCTATAGAAATATAAGGCATATCATTAATCCTACCATCGCATGTTATTGCCTGCAATTCCTCTAGCTATATATCGATTTATACCCATTTTTTCTCTGCATATGATAGGTCATGTCCTATACAATTTTAGCTTATGAGACATGTTACTCCGATAGCCAGTGTCCATTGTCGAGCTATCATTGCTGTACTGGTACAAGATACTGCTGTCCGTGGGGTACTGTCTGTACAGGGACTATCAACTGTATAAGTATTGGGTAAGGAGATTAGCTATATATGTATGTAAAACTAAGATACTTGACATTTTTGGGAGTAGAATATACATGCATAAATCTTATTTTTTAATTCAGATTAGGAATGCGTTGTCAAAATTTAGATAATAAAATGACTGAATTAAAGGGTGATTACTCTTTATAGTAAATATCAATATTCAGCAGAATCTTCCGTTATAGTAATATGTCTCTTCACAAGGGGGACATAACTGTGTCTTTTAACAGATAATAATTTTTAAATTTATTTTCATGAAGAAGGAAAGAAAAATCCCCTCGGGGAATAAATGTTAATACACAGGTAAAGGTAGATATGCATGAAAGATCTTTTTTTAATCAGGACAATAGTTGGTCCTATCGTCGGAGGAGTGGTTCTTATCATTAGCTGCATCGTATGCTGTGTGTGCTACAGTAAGTATAAACGTTCATCCAACATATACAGAAACAATACATTGTACATTCAGTGATTTATTTGTATAAAGAACTTTTACAATTACAATATTTCTTTGATTTTTTTCATTTTCATTTTCTAAAATGACTTCAAAAGCCTATACTAGCAATCGTTAATCTGAAAAGTATAATGTCTGGAGGGAAAACCGAACCCTTGTTTAACATTTCTTTCTTTTTTCCTTTCTTCTTTCTGTTTTTTGTTTAATTTTGAAACATTATGCACGCAATGGAAAAAGTAAAAAAAAAAGTAAAAGTAAAAAAAAGAAGGAAGAAAAAGTTAAATATTGCCTACCCGGATGATGTTTTATTCTACTTGTACAGATCGCCGAAGGCGCCAGGTGCCGCCTCCAGCAGTTGTTTACGGACAACAACAGCAAGTAGTTGCAATTGGACAACAAACAACATATGGACAACCTCAGGCTTATGGACAACAAACATATGGACAACCTCCAGCTTACGGGCAAGGTTACGGACAACAACAGACAAATGGACAAGGTTTCGGTGCACCCCAAGACACAGCAGATAACAAAATTAAGTTGTAGGCAGTGGAAGAAAAAATGATATGACATTGTCATCTATATTAAAAAATACCTATCTCTGTAATCGTGATACGTTACGGTAAAGTTGGACACGAACAAATAATTACTTTGCTTCTCATCAGACAGCGTTGGACAGAGCTACTTTGTTTATCATTTACAATTTATATAATTGTAAATGATAAACAAGGTATAAATGTATATTGCAGTTATAAATGTATATTTTCATTATTATCTCTATGCCAAAGCTACATCATATTTTCGTAAAATCACATCTTGCATCAGCAACATCATTTTTTAATAATCCAATTCAATCCCCAGATCCCCGCTACCAGACTCATATTGAGAGTCGTGGGTTAAAATTCTGTATCACGCCCATAAGACACTTTAACATATGTTGACTTTTGTTTAGTTTTATGTTGTTTTTTTTTTGTTTTTGTTTTTGTTTTTTTTTTTTTCATTTCATGATACGTTTCCTCTCTATCGCACACACGCATTGTATCACAATCCTATACCTTTTATCCTTATCAGAGGATTTCGCAGTATAAATGCATAAATTGTGAATGAATGGACAGAATGTTTGCACCACTTTTATATTTATATCTGTTCTAAACAATACATTTTACTCATATGTTCATTTATTGCACGAATAAATGTATAAGTATAATGTACATGTAGATCATTGACGTATTTCGGATAATAAAATGACATTGATGTGGTTGTTGTTGGGGCTATTTTAAGACAATATTTTGAAATTTTGATCACTGTGGACGAACGACTAATATTTTCACGCTTATGTTCTAAGTGTTCATTTATTTATTTTTTTTTAATAAAATTTATTATTATTTTTTTTAATTAACGATATGTAAAGCTTTTATTCACGAAATGTTTCATTTGGATGTCGCATAAATCTCTGGTACATGTAAGTAATTAAGTATCTCATAAGACTTCAAAGCAATGACCCCCCCCCCCCCCCCCCCCCCCCCCCGCGATATGACACACACTCAAAATAAAAATTTACCAAGAAGTACGAAGTATGACCACAGTTGTCTCTTATTATAGCAAGACAAGGTTGACTGTGGATATAATATACTATATAAATATTGCATGTAGTTGAGTGTAACATTGAAAATTTTCACCCCAAGAAAACCATTGTCAACCGAGGCGCAGCCGAAGTTGACAATGGTTGTCGAGGGGTGAAAATTTTCAATGTTACACTCAACTACATGTAATATAATAATCTTATACTGCATATTGCATATTTTTATGCAAATACATATTACAGTGAACCTTGCGCGCATGAATTCTGCGCAGTCAATATTTTTTGAAATAACACCCGTCGTCAAGCAATGTTGACTGTTGATACGCTGGAGGGCGTGGCTTCATGATTCAGCGGGTAATAGTGTTTTTAACAAATGTTTCTCGACGAATCAGGTTCAACTAATTTACATGAAAGTATAATATCTCTGAATAGCAGACTGCTTTTTTGCTGCCACGTCTATTGCATAGGTTAATATTGTGTGAAGGAGAGAAGGTTTTGACATCTATTTTCACCAAATCCTAAATGTGTTGAATGTGACTGAAATCCGAGGATTTTGCTGGCCATGGCATAACGCGGATGTTGTTTGCTGCAAGAAACTGTTGATTGTTCTAGCGCTGTGGTAGGTAACATTATCTTGATTGAGGTAGAATCATGTTGCTGTACGTAAGTTGTGTCGTGCGGGGCAAGTCTATAAATGTCATTCTGATACCTCCCTGCTGTAAGACAATCGTTAAATTAATACGAATAACCTGAGTTTTCGTGTGCATCAATACTACTGCTCACGCCATGATAGTTCCAACTCCACCAAACTTGCCCATCTCCTCAAAACAGACAGCACTATATGACATTCTCCTCGCCAGCAAAACACTTTTCTTCTACTAACTGGACTCCGTAACTTAATTAACTTTTGTCTCGTTAACGAAGAGTATTTCCAGTCAGCTCTGGTAAATTCGTGCCCAGACAAGGGTTGTTCGATGTCTTTTGGTCAGCACTAAACCTCTCTTGAACGTCTGGCACGTAATTGTACCTCCATAAGTCGCTTGTGGTCCGTTTTTGGTGATGTCGGACAACCATGGGGTCCCATTCGTTTGTCTTGCCGTTAAGATGGCTGATTTCCACCTATCTTTCAAATGGTTAAGAACGATGTAGCGATCTCCTGGTTGTGACACGAGAACTGGGCCTGATTATATATATATATATATATATATATATATATATATATATATATATATATATATATATATATATATATATATATATATATATATATATATATATATATATATAAATATAAAACGAAGAAAACGAAAAGTGACCAATCTCAAAAATTGTAGAATAATCAGAAAAAGTAAAAGTTATTACATTTTTTAAATTAAAAATAACATTTTCTGTAATCAAGAGGAAATAAGACTGCTTCCCACACACCGTTGTTTGTTTGAATCTTTTCGGAAATTCAAGAGATCCTGTCTCCCGTCACCTATATATATATATATATTAAATCCAAGATAAACAAACAAGTTCACATTTAATTTGTAATGTGAACTTGTTTGTTTTACTTGGATTTAATTTTAATTTATAACCCGCCTATACCATGGACTTTAACTACAATTTCACTCTCTCTCGTTCTCTCTCTCTCCCTCTCTCTCTCTCTCGCTTTCTTTATATATATATATATATATTAGGGATGGCAATTTGCAATCGGTTAACCGGTTACTCGGTCGGAACGATGGTAATCGGTTAGAAAATCTGTAATCGGTTAGTCGGGAAAAAATTAAAATAGGTGAAAATTTTCTTAAAACACGATTTACAATGTTAAAAAAAACCTTGAATATTGATAAGTTATAACGTTTCCATATTTAATTCGGCTGATTTGGAGGTAAATAATTTAATTAAGACTCTTAATATTGAATTTGTTGGGGGTAATTGGTCACTTTGCGAAGTGTTAATTGCTGTTTAAATACCATGTCGTTACCCAGCCTGTCTTAATTATGATATCAATTAAATCTTTGTTGAGTTCTGTTAAATGATTTAAATGATTGCAATGTGTATCATACCCCCGTCTATCCTTCGCAGTTATCTATCAAATTATATTTTCAAACAAACATTGTAAATTATTTCAGTTTCTGTTTATGGTGACAATGCACAATGACCTTGTGTTGTAACAATATCAATTTCTGCGATATTTAAGAGATGTTTCATGGTTTCCTTATTTTTTTCTTGCCGTTCGAAATTGAAATAAAATATAATATATAGTACTAATCAAGCATTAACGCCTTTTTCAGTTTTCTTGTATATATAACTAGAGTTTACTCGAAAAATAAAATATAAGGAAAATGTGTATTTTGATACGATTAACCGATTAATCAGTCAGAACGTCTTTCGGTTAACCGATTAGCAATAATTCTGTATTCGATTGCCATCCCTTATATATATATATATATATATATATATATATATATATATATATATATATATATATATATATATATATATATATATATATATATATATATATATATATATATATATATATATATATATATATATATATACATATATATATATATATATATATATATATATATATATAAACACTAACAAATGCAGTTCAGTACGGAAGCTCATACAGAGACACTTGTTCTGACTTATTTCGATTGCTGGAACTCCCTGTTCAAAATACATTCTCGTTAATTAAATATATTTTCTTCATGTTAAGCTAAGCGATGCATTATATATGCATCAACAAATGTATCATCGTTTTTGATAATTTCAATACATTTTAGGGATTCAAGTTCACTTCTCAGACAATTTTTAGAGGTATCATTTTTTTTCTGATTACTTACCAGTATTCAGGATTTTCCTATTTCATTGTTTTATTTGAAAAAAAAAAATATGCAAAAGAAATCGGTATTAAAATAATTCCCGTCATTTTTTAAAAATCTATGTACGATCCACACAAGAAATTCTGTAAGATCTAGCTTTCTTTCCCATTTTCAATGGCCACTCTTTACTGCATTAAACTGTTGACTGATGGGATAATGCCCAATTTCACAGTGAATAAAATCATAGGCGTTTGCAAGATTACGTAATTAAGAGAAATACGTAGAAACACTGTGTACACGACTCATGAGAGGAGATTTATGGCACGTTAAGTACAAAAATTAAAGAAAACGCGAAGATAATGAACAGTGAAAAAACAAAATTGATGTTCGTTTCTACATTGATTTTCTACTTAAGCACTTTAACGAACATTATTCTATCCATCTGTTCAAGCAACATTCATTGTGAAGTTACTTGTCTTTGTCATTTACACTTGAAATGCAAGAAGTTCGTAATGATACAGAAAACAACCGAAAATCGAATGACTTTTTTTTCAATAAATGTATGATCAAAATTCTTATAGTCTGATGTATATGTATGGATTTGTGTGGTTTCATATTATTTGCTAAATAAAGCATATACAGAATATTTATTATATACAACATGTATCAATTAACAACACACTAATGTAAGGTCTCTGAATCTTTACTGTAACATTTAAATCCAATGCAGTCAATTATAATTTGTAACAAAGAATATAATAAAAATTACTGAAGATATAATTTATTGTTTTCTCAAATGGTAGAATTTAGCAGACACGTAGACTTGACTTGTCACGGTGATCTTGATTGTCCGGACATTCTCTGGGCTGCCATTGCTGTTCCGGAACTATTTAGTGCTGTCCTTTCGTGTAAAATCCGTAGCAGAACATTAAAATGCCTCAGCATAGGGTATAGATACTTTTGATTTATAGAAAAAATATGTGTGATGTTGAATAATACAAACTTTTTTGGGGGAAACAAGTAATTATACTAGTACATGTATTTGAATATGGTAAAAAAATGTACATTTAACGTGGGCCATTTGAAAAACAGATTTACTTAATATTGTCCCAATTTTGTTGGAGTACGCCTCTTTTTTATTTAAAGCGATATTTTATTAGATTTTTTTTAGAATATTGAACTGGAATACTTTCATTAAGGGTTACCGACCCTCTGATAAGAGAAATAACTTCCCAAGTAAATAATCTGAAATTGCTCATAGCTTGTCATATATAACAGAGTGCACAGTAGTAGTAGTGGAGACCTTTGAATAGTCAATTCCAGCAAAACCACCACAGAACGGAAACGTTGACTTTTATTAGTTATATTTTCTTTTGATTATATTTGACCTAAAACAATTTACATCCAATTTTTTTTTACTCCAACAAACTGAAACAGTTGTATCTTGTTTTGAAGGATTTTAGAACTGCAATAATGCATCATGTACAATTATTAGTGGTACATTTTTTTTCTAGTAAAAAAAGATTTAAGGTGAAATATCCCTCTGCTCCAAATTTCACCATTTTTTTTTAATTCCCAACATTGATTTTATCAACAACAATAGCATTACATTCAAATGGAAAATAGTTTGAAGTATGAAGCGTTGCTTACTTTTTCAGAAATGAATATTATGTCTAATCATGATATGAAGAAAATTTGATATGGTGAATAGAAAGATCAATAATTTTTATCTCACCATAAAAATAAAAATATGAGGTATATTTGAAAAAAATATTTACTATCATACCAATCTAATTCACATTAGAAAACATAATGAAGCTTTGCTTTTTAAATCAGAATTTTACATTGTTTTCTATGCTTGTAAAATAAAAATGCATCCATCTACAGGAGTTATCGTTATTCAAAATATTTTTTTAGTTAAAAAAAAATTAATTAATTGATTATAGAAATTCTGCATCTGATAACCTGTAACAATTAAAAGAATTTTATGTTAAGAGATAGAAATATCTCAATTTTAACAATTTAAAGGAACTGAGTATAAATGTTTTAGGTAAACTATTATATGTAATTATTAAAATATTGAAAATAGAAAATAGAAATTGATATTTGTAACATAGTTCAGAGTTGAATAAGTTGACTATATAATGGTCCTCATTATTAAACTCTGGTAAGACAAGTCATTGAATTCCTTGGATTAATTTCCTTGGAAAGTTATCTCTCTTATCAGAGGGATATTTCACCTTAAAAAAAAGATAGCTCTTGTTCATTTTTTAAAGCACAAGTAACAATGTAATATTCTGACTCAGAAAGAAGTTCTTCATAATGTTTTCTAATATGAATTTAATATGTATGACACTAAATATGATTTTCAATTATAAATACCTCATATTATAAATTTTATATTGTGATAATAAATTATTGCTCTTCCCATTCTCTATGTCAAACTTTCTTCATATCATGTTCAGACATAAAATTCATTTCTGGAAAAATAAGCACCTCACTAGATGAAATCCCGCTCAAGTGCGGGGAATTGAATTTAACTACAGGCTTATAACGGGAAGAAATACTTTGTTCAACATCCCGCAATTAGTTTAGGTGCAAAAGTAGATAAATCCCCCCCCCCCGTTTTTTTATTATTAAAACTTGAAAAATATCAATTTCATTAATTGACGTTTTCTCTCTACATGTTGGCAACTTTATTTTGATACGAAGAAGCGAATGTGCACTTTTTTTACTGAATTTGTCAGCACATTATTTTTATTATGCCTCCGATTCGGGGGTGTATAGTTTTTGCCCTGTCCGTCCGTCTGTCTAGCCTGTCTAGCTGTCTCTTTGTCCGCAAAACTTTAACATTGCCCATAACTTTTGATTGGTTGGAGTTATGGCTTTCATATTTCACATGTGTATTTCTTGTGACAAGACCTACTTTTGAAAAAACTTTTACCTTGGCCATAACTATTGAACGATTTGTGCTACGGCTTTCATATTTCACATGTGTCTTTCTTGTGAGAAGGCCTCTTCTTGGGCACCATTAATTTTGACCATTTGACCTTGACCTTAATGTTTGACTTACTTTTGAAAAACTTTAACCTTTCCCATATCTATTCAATGGTTGCTGCTAGGGCTTTCGTATTTCACAGGTATATTTCTCGAGACGATACCTTACTTTGGGTAGCATTTGAGAAAGTTTAACCTTTGCTATAAGTTGCCATACGGGGGCATCAGTGTTTCACAAACACATCTCGTTTTTTTTTATTTTTCTTGGTAAAAATCAGCTTTTCACACCTTATGTATAAGCCTAATATTTAATACAAAAGATTGTATGAAGAAAACCCCATTGAAATGTATTGAATAACGCACAAATTTTTAAAGCTTTAATAAAATGTGAACTGTATTACTATATATAATACAAATTGTACTTCGGGTTCGTTGCCATGATGCTCTCATGTAGTGGCGAATATACATTTTTTTGCTCGTAAATTTATTAGTACAACTTAATAATAGTCTTTCGATATATACTTATAGTGTTATCAATTGCTTTATCATTATTTCCATGCCTATTCACATCAAAGTTTTTTGGTGGTAATTGCCTCATTTTTCTTTTTAACATCGGGTTCGATGCCATTTGACGTTCTAGAAATTTCCTTCAAGACTAATTATAAGATCGGCGATTGACGAAAACGATTTGCACATTTTGTCTTTTAATCAGTTATCACAACCAATTTCTTTTGTATCATTTTAATCAAGTTTTGATTAAATAATTCTTTAATGACGGTTTATTAAATAATTAAGCGATTGTTTGTTGTCAGTTTCATTAAAAAATGCTAGTAACTTAGATCCGCCAACCGTAGCCACTACCGTACTCTCTTTTTTGCTATTTCACGGCTGTTCATCGAAAATGAAAGTAGACTTTTAATTAAATTTACGATAATAACTATGATAATGAACTCTGCTGCGGGCGTTTCGGAGTTTATTTGCAAAATTTATTAGTTTATAAGTATAGATACTATTTTCCATTTGAATTTGAATCTAATTCAATATTTATTGATAAAAATGAATGTTGGGAGGTTTTTTAAAAAAAAAACTGTGAAATTTAAAACGGGATCATATTACTCTTTAAGTTTGAAGAAATTCAAAGTGCTTACAACCTAAATGAAATATGCCTGTTTTATTAACCTCGTTTGGTCTGCCCAATTACCATGAAAATCTTTTTCTCGTATCAATTTAGTTCAAATCTATACTTTAAAGTATTGTAAGACGGAGACATTGATAGTTCTCTTATATACCAGTAGTTGAATACACACACACACACACACCCTCACACACACACACACATACACACACACATATATATATATATATATATATATATATATATATATATATATATATATATATATATATATATATATATATATATATATATATATATATAATGCCTTTATATGACTAATCATGGCCCTGTTGCTCTTGAAAAGATTATAATTTTAAAATTTTATCAACACTTCAACTTGCCGCAGAATAATTTGATTGTTTGAGAATTGGTAAGTACTAGAAGTAAGAAGAAGTAAGTATGTGAGGTCATCAGACAGATCGTGTTACAGTCATTTATAAATATTTACATTTCCAAATATGTTTCCTTTAGATTCTTTGCAAATTAGATTTTTGTTCATTTTCTCATGAACTACAATGGACGAGCATGAATATCTCCATTGTTACGTCATAATACCGTACTTGACGTCAAAACTAAAGTGCAAACTGTTTTGCTTTAAAAATGACAGTTGAATTGTGGCACCTAATCAGAAAAATAATGTAAATATAAGAAATGAATTTAATTTTTGAAGATATATGAGGACATGAACTGCGACGCTTCACGCCGGCATATTTCATGAAGCGCTTCATGTCCTCATGAATCTTCACAAATTAAATTCATTTCTTAAATACTCCTTTCCTATTGCATAAGATACAGGGCGGGGAGCGGCTCGAGCTATCGATCTTGCTTTCAGCCCCACCCTGCATATCTCATACAATAGGAAAATCGTACTCTAAATTATCGTACTGACGAAAAAGCTTTTTTAATATTAAACTAAAGCATTGGATCCATATTACAATTTTCCATGGTATGGTCTTGGGCGATTTGATGTCGTCATTTTAATTTAATCTTAAAGATCCATGTTTATTGTAACAGTTAAAGACAATCCTGAGTTTTATCACGCGTTTTTTATTCGTCGTTTTATTTATTTATATTTGAATCGTTGGCCTTTACTTTTAAACATTTTGGATACAAAACAACAAAACTCCAATTTTTTTTATTATCTAAAATTGCTAAAAGCAGTATCTCACCCTTGAGTAATAAAATCTTAAAATAATTTGACTATTCTCCTAAAACCAAGCAGACACACATGTCTTTTTATTTTTATCTACAAATAGATTCGGTTATAGAACAATTACAAAAAATATTAATAAAAAAAGGTTGTATAACGATAAAAAATATTGATGTGTGCAAGTCGGTTGCCAAATGTAATGCACTTACGCAATTCAGTTTTTTACCGTTACGCTCTGTTTCCAATTTGTGTGTCAAAATAATAATGCACTGTATAAAATATATAGAAGATCAATAGGATATGGAATTCACTTCACGAGTGAGACAGGAATTTTGATTATATTTTCACGAGTGAAAATATCAAAAGATCATCCCACAAGTGAAATAAATTTCATATCCTACTACAAAATATTGCCTACAAATATTGAATTTTCTGTTTATTATCTGTACAATTTCTTCGGTTTTTCTCTTGATATTTTTTAACTAAGTAGTTCTGGTTTAATTGCCTAATTTTACCTCCCCATCTCCTGGATCTGCACTTTATATAAATAAATAAATAGATAAAATAAATAAAATAAAATAAAAAAAAAAAACCCAGAGTATTCTATACTAATGTACAAAACAAAAAGAGCCATATGAAATCTTACCATGAAACTAAACTAATTTTTAAAAAATAATATCCTTTTTTTGATCTTATCAACTTCAGGTCTGGCGAGCAAAGACTTGATAAATATCTGTGTTCAAAATTATTATATTATTCCAAAGATGTTTCTGACTATGCAGGAAAGATGATTGAACCTTGCAAATTCCACACAAATGATCCGTGATGCATACAGGTTATTGCGAAATCAAGCAATCGACATCCGAAATTAAGAATGGATACCTGCAGGGTTGTGTTACTTTTTCTTTTATTTGGTTTTATCTGCCTTTTTTCCATTACAGACGGTAAGGAAATTCAAACAGTCCAAAATTTATAGTTGACGTTCATTTATCACCAGTTAATAGATAAAGGTTTCTCGTATGAAATTAATCAATCAGTAGTCAACGAATTTATGTTATTAAATGTGACTGAACGTTTCGAGTTTAGTTGTTAATAGGTAAATTGTTTTTAATTACCTATTTATATTAAGAGCTGCTTAGTTATTCCAAGACAACGGAATGCAATATCAAAATGGTCTTAGACGGCTTTAATATGTATAGGAAGATGATTAATCACAAAATCACGAAATACATATTTTCAACTGTTTCATATTGTTAATAGTCAGTTTAAATTGTTAAAAATATAACATTTTTTTTGTGATAATCGGGGATCATAAAAGAGTATATATATATATATATATATATATATATATATATATATATATATATATATATATATATATATATATATATATATATATATATATATATATATATATATATATATATATATATATATATATATATATATATATATATATGAGTATATATATATATATATATATATATATATATATATATATATATATATATATATATATATATATATATATATATATATGAGTATATATATATATATATATATATATATATATATATATATATATATATATATATATATATATATATATATATATATATATATATATATATATATATATATATATATATATATATACGTGTGTGTGTGTACTGAATTTGACTTCTGATTATGAAGCTAAAGATTTCTGGGCACTATCGTTTTAAGTATCCGGTATTTTTATCAAAAATTGCGGCCATGATCAATTAGTGTTTGTTAGGATTCTTTTGACCCATTTAAGTATGATAAAGGATACGAAGGCGGGTAAATGGTATGGTTCATATTTAGTCCACCTTGTTCAATTTTACCTATTCGCGTACCTTTTATTTTGTTGCACTTTTCTTTCATAATTATACATCTCGAAATAAATTGGAAAAAGGTTTTATTGAGCTCATCCAGCAATTCATTTGGTTTATTTTTTGTTTGTGTAACTGTCCCTTCGAGAATGTTTCACCCATATTGAGACGCCACCACTTGCCGGTGGAGAGCTGCAAATTTAGACCTGTACTCGGCACTTAGGTTCTTTGAACAGTGAGGGATCTTTTTCGTGCCAGGACTTACTGCTACACGGACCTCGGTTTATACGGTCTCATCCGAAGGACAGCTCTCCACGTCCCGAAGTGGGATTCGAACCCGCGACGTAAGGAAATACTCCTTATTCTGCGAGTCTAGAGCAAACGCTCTATCCACTTCACTATACGGGCCCACAATTCAGTTGGTTGATCTGGTCATGCTGAGGATATGTGTAAACTTCGGAATAACAAATGTTTTAAAGACGGTAATCTTTCGTAATGAAGGTGAATCAATATTTTCTAAGTTTTTTGATACGCAAGAGTATGCTCTACGTACGAACAATTTCTAGAACGAGGCACGCTATTGACAAACAAGTTGATGAAACAACGAGATCAACAGTCTCCTTTGAAGTCATCATTTTGCAAATTTTATGGTCGACACAATGACCTTGTCAACAAATACAACCTATCATTAAGTCAAATGCTGACTGAAGTTTTCATATTAATTGTTAGGCCATTATTTACACATTGAATTATCTTTTTCCTTCTTTCCCGATCATGACAAGGAGCACACGGCAGGTGTGACCGGTCGGCAGGGAATGCTTACTCCTCCATGGCACCTGATCCCACCTCTGATGTTTTTGTAGGTCTTTGTTTGTTCTTCTCCGGAGTTGTATTGTTTAAACGGAATTTGAGCTTGAATACTGTTCGTTATCTTCATATTTTAGTATAATAATTTCCAAAAGCATGAAGGTATTACTACCCTGTTTGATTTTTAAGTCATCACAAAAAAGTCTGATTCAATCCATGTTTCCTTGAAATATTAAATTTTGAAATCAGAAGCATTACCAATTTGTTTTGAAATTATTTTTTTAATAAGATAAAATGTTCATTCTCAGAGGATGTATGATACAAAACATTCATGCAAAACTATTTTGTTAAAACAGAATTCCTCAGAAAGCATACTATAATGATTCATTATAATCAGTATTGATAAGTTTAATTGTAATTTAGGTTACGAGACTTGTTACTCTGATAGCCAATGTCCATATTCAAGTTACCATTGCTGCACTGGTACAATATATTGCTGTCCGTGGGGTAGTGTCTGTACAGGGACCATCAACTGTATCAGTATTGAGTAAGATTAAAGCATTTATCACATTATTTCAAACATAGTTGTATAATTATTATAATATAAAGCAAGGATATTTGAAATTTTTGATAGTAGAATATTCATGCATGGATCTTATTCAGTAAGACAGATTACGCGTTGATATGGAAAATTCAGTATTTTTGAAAGGAAGTGAACAATCTTTGGAATGAATATCAATCGTCAACAAAGCAATTTATTATACCTCATATAAATAATCACTCGTTAAATAGAATCTGATTGGCCGAGACAGTCACGTGACCATCGTGTTTGCCCTGCAACAAACCTTTGTGTTTCACGATTGTCACAATTCGGCGACTGAGATGGTTACTACTGAGTTAGAATGTTTATGTCATTGATTGATAGTGTCGATTCAAATTTTGAAAATATGAATATTTAGAAAAGTGTTTTCATGGGTTGGTTTGAATGTTATATAGTGTGTAAATCACACTTATTTGTCACGAAGGAATGTATTTTTATGAAGCGCGACTAGTGGTGTAACTTACAGCTGTTACATATATTGTTCTTATCAAATTTTACTTTATTCATTGGAGCTTCTTTATATTTCCTGCACTGTGCTTGATTCGGTATGATAAACAATTTATTGCATGATAGTGAGGGAGACATGAAGATTTCTTCGCCAATGAAAAATCATATTCCTCGAGGGCAACGCCCGAGGGGAATATGATTTTTCATGGGCGAAGAAATCTTCATGTCTCCCTCACTATCATGCAATAAATGTATATCTCTTCCCTTCGAAGGTCATAACGCTGACTTCAATAAGATAATTAACATTTAATGCATCTTTTTAAATAGCAGTAATTTATATATTAAACTAATCCTTTCGTTATAGCGTAGCAGATATTAAAGTTAGAAAAATTCCAAGTGCCCATTCAAATGGAAGTCGAATGAGTGACCATAGATACTTAAAATTTAATTTTTATATTAATAAAACGAAAAAAGGTCCGGGATATTGGAAACTTAATGTTTCCTATCTCGATAACGAAAAATACAAAAAAAAAAAAAGAATATTTATTTAGATATTATTCACAATATAGATTCCTCTTTAAGTCCTATTATGACATGGGAGTTGATCAAAAGAAAGATTTAAAAAAAAATTAGCTTTTTCTGTTTATTTTGCAAACAAAAAACAAAAAACAAAAAAAAAACAACAGTTGAACAAAAGATAAGATCAATAGAACGCGAAATAGAAGATATGGAAGAAGGAAATATTGATAAATTTAATTACAAAAGATTAAAAACTTTAAAGCTGAACAACACGCTTATACGACAAAAATTTAAAATTTAAGTTTAATACGGATTACAAAATTATTGCCTTTGTCTTTGCAAAAAGGTTACAATATATATTGTTTAAGTTAATTAACGAAAATCAAACTGCATACACAAAGGGAAGATATTTCGGCGAAAATGCCAGATTAGTACTTAACGTTTTTGAATACTGTGAAACAGAAAATTCTGATGGCATTTAACTTTTCTTAGACTTTGAAAAAGCATTTGACTCAGTTGAATGAAGTTTTCTTTTTCAAGTCTTACAAAAATTTAATATTGGCAATAGTTTTATGAAGCGGACAAACAGTTTCTATACAAGCCCAATGTTTAAGATGAAAAAAAACGACTGGCTCTCCAAAACTTGCGAAATGGCAAGAGGCATTTGGCAAGGATGTCCCATTTCCACTCTCTTATACCTCTTTGTCGCAGAAATATTGGCTATGAAGATAAAATGTGATAAAGATATAAAAGGTATAAAAATCAATAATTGCGAAATTAAAAACATACAGCATGCGGACGACTTAACTGTAGCTTTAAAAGACGAAATATCACTCTGGATAAATTACAAGAATTTTGTGAACACGCAGGATGAACTACACAACATGCGGACGACTTAACTGTAGCTTCAAAAGACGAAATATCAATGAAACGCACTCTGGATAAATTACAAGAATTTTCTGAACATGCAGGATCAAATATAAACATATATAAAAGAGAATGCGTTCTGTTATTGGAACTAAAAACATGTACGATGAACTCCACGGTATAAAAATCACGACTAAAGCAGTAAGATGCTTGGGAATTTTCACTGGACACGATAAGGGAGAATGTTACACTAAAAATTGGATGAAAATTTATCACGATATTGAGAAAATTTTTGAACTCTGGAAAAGAAGAAGACTATAATATTATTTTGCAAATCATGTGTAATAAAGACACTTGCTATATCTAAACTTAAACTTAAACTTCAGTACTAAGTCTTCTTGATAATGCTTACATTAAAAAAATTCAACGATTAAATTTTAACTTTATTTGGGATAAAAATGAGAGAATTAAATGTAACACGCTAACAGGTAAAATTTCAAAAGGTGGCCTCTCAATTGTTGATATTGAATGTAAATTAAAAGCTTTAAAAGCGGCTTGGGTACCTAGGTTGTTAAGAAACAAAGGTTTTTTTGTACAACATTTTTGATGGCTATTGTAAAAAGTTAAATATTGATACTCTTAACGTATTACATTTCTCCGACAGAAAGATTGGAAATACGGAGAAATTGGAGAAACTACGTATTTTTTTTTATCGACAAATGTTATGCTCCTTCAAGCATAAACGTAAGCCTTGTAATGTTTTCCGATAAAGTTCTTCAACAGCTTATATGGAACAAATGTAATTTTGTTTATAGAGGAAATACATAATTTAAAAAAAAAACAAAACAAAAAAAAAAAAAACAACAACTAAATAACTAGTGGGATTTTGCATGTTAAAGATTTATTCGACGATGATGGAAATTTCAAATCACTGTTAGATTTTTCGGAGTGTATAAAAAAAAGTCAAACTGATTGTGTGATTTAAAATTTTACTTCTGTTTTCAGACCTTTACTAAGAAAATTTGATTTTTCAAATTGTAAGTTTGTGAACATACGCTACAGAAATTATTTTCTCCTACATAGGATATGTGAATGTTCTAGATCAAAGATGCAGCTTTTTCTATGAAAATTTGGTAAACAAAAAATTTTGTAAACCTTGTTATCAAACAGTTTTAAGCAAAGAGTTCAAAGTTGAACCTACTAATGGAAAAATATATTCCATTGTATTGATTGATTGATTGTTTGTTGTTTAACGGTCCCTCTCGAGAATTTTTCACTCATATGGAGACGCAACCACTTGCCGGTGGAGAGCTGCAAATTTTGTCCTATACTCGGCACTTAGGCCATTGAGCAGTGAGGGATCTTTTTCGTGCCAGCACCTACTGCGACACGGGACCTCGGTTTATACGGTCTCATCCGAAGGACCGGTCTCCACGTCCCACAGTGGGATTCGAACCCGCGACGTAAGGATCAACTCCTTACTTCGCGACTCTAGAGCAGACGCTCTAACCACTGCGCCACGCGGGCGACTATTCCATTGTAATACTCTTATAAATACCTTTCTATATATTTATTACAAATAACAAGTCCAACAAAATATGTTCGTTTTTTCATCGGTCTAACAATTTCATTGTTGTGCTACATCACAAGTAATTAGTCGTCGTTCAATATCGGAGCCACGGAAATAGCCGAAGTTTCAAGAGTTACCGCATATGCTATTTGAAAGATGGCGTCACGGAAGAAATAATGTTTTGTGATAAATAATTTCTGTCTCATAATAATTTCATGATGATTTTTTTCATTCTTTGTTGTTGTCATTTTTATTTAAAAAGCCACAATATTACTTATAAAGAAATTGTTTAATTATATGAGTAAATCTGTTTAAAGGTTTTTAGTGTGAATGTATAACAAAACAGTTATAGACTGGGATTTGGGCAACATATGATTTGTTGGGCCTAAAGGTGAAAATGTTGCCTTTAGCGGATACAATATTCTGAATCACGTTAATTCTTGAACGTTTTTCTACCTTCAATTCTGAAAAATCTTAATTCTTTTATAAACTATATACTTTTTAAAAATTCTGTTCAAAAGAGTCTGTAAAAGTTTTAAACTTAAGTAAAATTTATATCTTGTTAAACTAAACTTCGCATACATGTTTTTTTTATTGCTTTAATTAGATTGTCTTAATCCAATATTGTCACATTATCTATTGCTTGTAATGTAACTTGTTTTAAATATGTTATATATATATCAATGCTTATTAGCATTTAATAATTTAATTGAAAAAAAACTTTAAATAGCATTCATTTTTTTAATTCAACGGTTTAATAATTATGTTATCCATATCGAAGCTGTTTGAATCATAAAATCGTTCTGTCTGTCAAGGAATATATTTAAAATAAAGATTAAGGTAGAACAAGGTTTACAAACATTTCAAAATGATTAATTAACATTTGCTTATTAAATAATTTAAAATAAATGGCATGTTTCCATGTTGTAAAATAATGTGCATCCTGTGTTACTTGGAATGATAATCAATTAATCATACACAGCGACTAAACATTATCAGCCATTTTAAGTAGTAAATGGTCACATTTAGCAGGAAATTATCAAATTCTGTAGGATCTTGATAATAGCCCTCAGGAATTTTAATTTTCCTATAAATAAGTTAATTTTGTCGTGGAAATTTCTTTTCAAAGGCGATTATCTCACCTGATCCTTGATGTTCACCTGTAACAAATATACTTTTAAAATTTGTGCATGAGTGATGGTCTACCTCATGGTATACATGTATGTGGATTTTCATTTTTAAAAAAAGTTTTGCGGGGGCCGATTTAGCTTTTTCGAAGTGGCATATTTATCCGGTACAGTGTTGATTTTAGACGGATTCACTAAACCCCTCTATTAGCGAACTGCGGTCGAGGTCTCAAATGAATCTACGCTAAAGAAAAGAGTGCGAAAGTTTTTCTTGTCAGAAGATACAAACACTATTTCACAGATTAGTTATTTTAAACGAATAAAGAAATCAATAAACGAATGGTAATGCATTTTGAAAATTTTAATCTTTTGAAAACCTTAATGCACACAATGTACTCGGATGCGTTAGATTTTTCATTGTCAATGGCAGATTGGTCCAGTCTGCTTACTTAAGAGATGCTAGATTAATTTGGACCATGTTAAATTCGAAACATGGTATGAAGTTTCACAACTCGAAATTTGATATTTTGTTGAGATGGTTTATTTTGAATTTCATTTTAATCTTAAATTTTTGAAAACATTTTTCATGTAAGTGTCTTTACACTTTGAAAAAATAAATAACAGTTTTGAAGTTAATAAAATCATTCTTTTCTTTGGAACAGGAAATTGGCTAACCACCTTTTGTGTTCTCAGAATCAACTTCTACTCCAAGGGGAGAAATAATCATGAACAAAAAATTTTAATTGCTTTACAGAAAAATGACATTTGGAGAGTCAAATTAGCTTCTCTCATTTTGTTAAAAACTTGAGATAGGCCACGAAGATGTGAGACAAAGTCTTGAGAGAAAATCCAAATATTGTCAATATAAACTTAAACTGACTTGAAATTCATCTCTCTAAGTACAGCAGGCATGAGTGTTTGAAAGGAAATGGATGAATGTTTCAAACCGAATGGAATACTTTTCCATTAATACACATTATCCTGTGCAATAAAAGCTGCATTGTGTTTGAAGCATGGGCTCATTTGGACTTGCCAGAAGACAGACTGAAAAATCTAAGATGATAAAAAACTTGGTTTTTGTGCCCCCCAGTTGCATCAAACAGAGGAAGAGGAAAGGACATTGGGACTGTGAAATTTTCAAGATCTCTGTAATCGCAAGGAAGTCTCAACTGCCCATTCTTTCTTACCATAACAGGCAAATGCCACTCAGGGTTCGAAAATTCAATTATATAATTTTGTAGCATTTTATGTACTTTTTTTTTATTTCTTTTGACATCTGAATGGATGCTCTGTAAAACTGTTTCCTAACTGGTTTTGAACCAGGCAAATTTTTAATATTGTCTATACAATGTGGTTTTGCCTAGTTCAGACAAGTCTGTGGAGAATATATTTCGATTAGCATGCAGGAATTTATCTAATTTGCAACCTTTGATCAGCAGTTAAATCAGACTCTGACAGATCTTACTAAAGTTTTGAATTGCCTTTCGAGCTATCTGACTGTGTTAAAACAATTCTGTATGAAGGTGAAGCACTGTCTGAATCAAGAGAAATAATCCTCTATAGTAGCCAATACCTGATTGGATCTTATTCGCACATCATTGAATGCAATATTAAAAGCTTGCAAACATGTTTTTCTTCTGTTCATTTTCATTTATCACTTAGAAGCTGTAATGTTATACTTTTCTTGAGAGAGATAATGGTGGTTCTAATAAGCACTTGATCGAATTTCTACATCTAGAAATATGACAGCAACTGTCATCTCTGATTGCTGAGAAATGGTAACAAATTTGGTTGAGCAAGTTTACCCTGTACTTGTTAAAATTTGACACACCTATTGGTTGCTAATGGTTAGTGTGTTGCCAGTATGCCCACCCAGAGACAGGGTTAGGGTTAGGGACAGGTGCACATTCCTGGCGAGAGTTGTTATTATTAAACTTTGTTGCATTGAAAGAAATCTCGGAAGACAAATTTACTTAAATGACCTATACCTCCACAATAAGAAGACCTATTAAAACAGGACTCGCCCCCGAATTTTAATCATGATCCATTTTGTCTGGGTATTCCGTCATCTCTGGACCTCTGATTATGAGGGGGTCTGAAACTGCATTCACTACTGAGCCTGATGCTTGTTTCATAATTCCTGTAACGCAATGGCCATTGCTGCATGTTACTCATCAACAGATGCTGAGGGTGTGTCCTCATTGACAGTAACATTTAGCCTTCAGTTAGAATTGCTTGTTCCCTCCACTGTTCCAAGGTTTGGGGTCTCTGTCGCAAAATTTACAGTCTTCAGAGTAAGCCATCTTTTTCTAAATTTGTTACATTACTTTCTCCATGACTGAATAGGTGGTTAATTTCCTCACTCACTCCTCTACTCCATCACTTGGTTGCTATAGAAATCGGAGTAAATTAATGTTTGTAGAGGGGAAGAAGGTTTAAAATGGTTAAAGAAAGTTAGTTTAAAGGTTATCAAAGATACTTTCTTTGCTGGGTCCAGGAAAATAAACCACTGGAGGGCAATACCAGTAAAATAAATTGAAGCATCTTTATGGCTCTCAGAGATGGAATATTAGTGAAATGGAAGTGAGCCATGAACGCCCTCCGCCATTCTGATCCTTTTCAATCATATTTGGGAAGCAGTTGAGCTGGGAAACGGGGAAACACATTTTAGATCTTTGAGGGTTGGCTAGCAGGGCTGCGGAGGAGGTGCAGGGGTCAGGGTTGGCCGGTCCTCAACAGTTACCACTTGTATATTGTTTTACTCATGATTGCCATTTGCATTTGTTGGTTGGTTATTTAACTCAGCGTTTCCGAGTTTTTCTGTAAGTTCTCGAATACATTTATTTTTTCCTGTAATTGTCCTTTAGTGGCAATACGTTCACTGGTTTGATCTTTCAAAGTAGTATTTAATTGTTCTACTTTTTGGGTCTTCTCTTTAACAGTCGTGTTCACTCTTGCTACTGCCTCTTCAAGTTTTTCCAGGTTGTTGTTCTGAGAATAAGAAGAAATGTCTAAAATATTCATCTTTCTAGCCATCTTTGTTGGATATGTAACTCTCATTGGCGTGTGAGAGGTAAAGATGATTTTTTTTCTTTTGTCTTTACCAGTGATATCTCCCTTTTGATTTCTTTAGCGTAAGGCGATTCTTATCCTACTGCCTAGCAGTTTAGCAGTTGATAAGAGAAAATAAGCTGAATTTGAAGAAAACAAAGATTAATAAATGTCAAAACGCCCGTGCGGTTTTGTTGCATTTTGAAAAGTGACCTACATAGGAATGCGTATCCCTAATTGCAAAAGCTCCGATATATTAAATTTACAAATCAATTTGCGTCTTATAATACTAATCAGTCTGTTATCTTAAAGTTTTAAAATTCGATGCACAAATGTTGTCATGCCATGTACCCTTCATAATATATAATTACTGACCTAATCATTGAGTAACAGATTAACCACATAATGTCTTTAGCAAGACTTACTCCCTAGGCAATGGGCTTTAAGCATATAAAATGTTATCATGGATACTTACTTTTTCACCTGAGTAAATAACCAAAAAGATTTAATGAAAAGAAATAGACTTATCATGAACTATAGATGACATGAACATAAAAGAAAACTATTTTCCAGAAGATTACAAAGTGTAAATATTTTATCCCAAATGTCAAATGTCACATTCCAAAAATACAATAAAATACGGTTAAGCTACTAGTATGTAGGTTTTCTAAAAAGAACAGATATTTAATTAAATTTATCTAATTTCTAAAAATAACTTTATTACTGATAGAATTACATTTAGAAAAATAAAATACTGTTCTAAAACAAAGTTTTCCTCATGACAAAATGATTACTTTGATTATCATATCCATTTTTAACACGCGTGATTCCTAAGTTTTAAACAAGGCTAACTCTTCCATTGCAAATTGTTAAACATAACTAATGTAATGGAGTTTGTTAGAATATTACCTTGTACTAAATTAAATTAAAGCTGCATTTGTACAAATAAGTATTAACTTCTTTTCTTCCAGCTTTAAATTCTACAAGAATTCAGTAAAAAAAAGCGAACAAACAAAGTAAAACAGATTATGTTTCATGCACGTATGAAACAGCAATGAATTAACGAATTCACGAAGAACCTTTATTTGACAACAAATTAATTTCAAAAATGCAATGAAGATATAAGACTTACAAGAATAATAAATGAAACATCTGACTTTAAAATCAGTTTAATATCCAGATTTATTCTGTCTGACGATCTATATGCATTTTTTTTATTTATCAGTCATACAATCTATTGAATGACTGATTGATTGATTGTGTATTGTTTTACCTCCCTTTTCGAGAATTTTTCACTCATATAGAGACGTTACCATACACCGTGAAAGGGTTTCAAATTTTGACCTTTACTCGGCACTCAGGGCCATTGGGCAGTAAGGGGTTTTTATCGCGCAAACGATACCGTGACACGGGTCCTCTCTTTTTAAGGTCTCACCGAGAGCTTGGCGATGGAGCAATTGCTTCTTATTTTTATTAACTTAGCTAAGTCACGGCCGGGGCTTGAACCCACGACTTTCCAATCCCTGAGCGAGCGCTCTAACAACTGAGCTACCGTAACGTACAATAAACAATTTAAATAAGCCACTATAAGCAAAGGGCTCTAACTACATGTAACTAGCTGGTAGTTTCTCCTTGTTCCTATATATAGGAAACTAAAACATGGAGAAAATTGCAATGCTTGAAAGGACACCCAGAATAACGATTTGCAATAAAAGTAAAATACTTTGCATGTTGCAGACATTACAATGATGACAAATTGTTTTATATGTACACCTATAAAATGGCCTTTTTCATATTATTAATTGTTTTAGTAATGACATTGCAGAAAATTCATATTCAAATGGTAATAAGGTGTTTGTAATTAGTGTTTTGACACCACCACCACCCACCTCACCTCCCATCCTCCTTTGATAAAACAAAGCAAAATAAAATACAAAAGCAATGAGAAAACATACCAAAAAATAAGAAATAGATAAAGAAAAAAAATTGTCAAGGAAATAATGTAAACATATTTATTAGATAGACGTAGATATGTATGGTAAGATGTGATTTTAAATTATGATTATTTTCAGGACAATTGTTGGTCCTATTGTCGGGGGTGTGGTCTTTATCGTTAGCTGCGTTATCTGCATTATTTGCTATAGTAAGTATATTTCTGAATGTGTGTACGAGGGGTGATCAAAAAGTTCGCGAACTATCTCTATATTTACAAAATCACAATTCAGATCAGAATGAAATTTGGCACACATAAAGTCATACATATATTCTATAAATAGCAGGTGTTATATAATGTTTTGCTCCGTGTTTGTGACGTCACAAAGTGAAAATGACGTCAATATGTAGGTGACGTGACAAAAAATGGTTGACTCAGTCGTACTCGAGCAACAAACGGCTGTGAAGTTAAACGTATATCTTAGAAATTCCTTTGCAGTAGAATATGATAATTTGTACAAGGTTTATGAAGACAAAAGACTTACCAGAGGTTCAATCATTAATTGGATTGATTGTTTTAGTGGAGGCAGGGAGATGGTTAAAAATGATGTTTGTTCTGTTTCCCAGCGAAAGCAAGCCGGGGAAAAGATGAGTCCTCAGCTGAGTAATTTGTTATGAAAGATCGCCAAGTTACGATTAGAGAAATAGTTGAATATCTTAACAATAATATAATTATTAAATCCCTAAAATATCGTTTACTTTAGCCTTTAAACATATGAGATATGATTAAAAACAAGTTCGTCCATACTTTATCCACATTGAATAAACGACGTTCTCGAGACAGAGGACTCGGGTTTTGATGACCACCATGCTAATTCTGGGAAGGGATGTCCTTATCCACCCATTCTATTGCCGATATTTGGCCATTTCTGACAGATGTACTGTTCTTGTTATAAAAAATAACTTGCATGGTAAGAAATATAAGACTCGGAACAATCGTTTAGCTTCTGTGAACAGAACGCCACGGAGCATGTCACGTGACCGCCTAGATCACGTGATTCGTACATGGGCAGAACAATGGCAGATGTGCATTATAATCGGAGAGGACTACTTTAAAAAATAATGAGCACTGAAACCTCATTTTATATCTTTTAAGGAAGTAATTCAATTAGTTCGCGAACTTTTTGATCACCCCTCGTATATTATAAATATGATCGTCTGAAATCTACAGGCCTGCAACATTATAAAAAAGACAAGACTTAGGCAGTAAAACAAAGGCAAACGGGCTTAAACATACCAATATTTGAAATAGATTCAGTTGTTCATATTAAGAAAGAAGATATTGCAATGTTCAGATTGTTCTTTAAAATTTACAACTAATTTAAAAAGATGAATGGCATGATATGTCTGAAATGTAAAGTCAACTATCTGAAATGAAGATATCCTAAAGAACCCTTATTTTGTATTTCAATATTTGAAAGTTATGCACAATTTAAGAACAATACTCCTTTACTTAGCATTGCCCCTCTCTGATGATCTTTCTTTTTTTTAACCAGATCGTCGAAGGCGCCAGGTGCCGCCACCAGCTGTTGTTTACGGACAACAACAACAACAAGTACATATAGGATTGCATCAAAATGAACAGCCTCAGGCTTACGGACAACAAGCATCAGGTGGACAAACTCAGGCTTACGGACAACCTCAAGCTTACCGACAAGGTTATGGACAAAAACAGACATATGGACAAGGTTTCGGTTCACCTGGTGCGTTGCCACAAGATACAACCGATAACAGACTGAAGCTATAGATAGAAGGAAAAAGAAAAACTATATATGTTTACTGACTTAAAACAACACCAATCCTTGTTATCATCATATGCATCGATAACCTCAAACATGAGCAAGAAATTCACTTCTCCCGTCAAACACTTCCAGTTTCCATATGTCGAACCACTGTGCTATTTCGTAAGTGCTAAAGTAGGCCGTTAATGTATCGTCTTACTTTAATCTTTGCACCAAAGCTATATTATCTTTCTTTAAATGTCAATGCAATTCTCACATCAAACTCAAAACACAGTCGCCGGTGAAAAACTCTGTAGCATATATCCAATATTTCACTTTGATACCTGTTAATTTTATTTCAAATTAAAGTTTTCTTTTTAATGTGAAATTTTCGATTTTTTCTATTGCACTCATGCATCGTGTCATAATCTAATACTTTTATTCTAATCCGAGGATTTTTTTTCAGTATAAATATGAATGAGTCGACTGAATCTTACACTGATTTTGTACAGTTAACCCGTTTAACGATTGCAAAGTATTTTACTCACATTTTCATTTTTTGCACGAATAAATTTATAAATAGATTATACATGTATGTAGATCATTGATGTATGTCGGAAAATAAAATTTACCTCTTGGTTGGTGGTGAATTACTTCATTTATTTCAAAAGAATAACTTGAATTTTTATGCTTTTGTTGTCATGTTAATGGTTGCCTATAACCAGGAATAACTGTGGATGAACTCTACTAACTTTACTAACATTTTCAATATAACATAATCAATATTTTATATAATATGTCATTGAAAAAATGCTGTCATAAGAATAGTGGAGAAAAACTTCTGTGCATGTTTGCAGGACAAAAATTAAGACAGCGTAATGAAGTATTGACTGTACGGGGGCTACTTCTGCTTCTTGTAGACGTCTTCCTCTCCTTGTTGGGAGCCTGCAGACACAAGATTTCTTCAAGTTTAGAAAATAAAATAAAATGCTTAATTTACCAGAATGGGAAAAAAGGTGAATTTGTCGTTCAAATTAAAAAGATTTTGCTGCAGCGAAATTTCTCTGCGACAGATTGTAGGAACTGCAAAATCATAGCCTCTACGGATGAAGTTTCTAAGCAAAAAGAGATGAAAATCAGTGCTGGATTGAGCCATTAACTCTCTTTCTAGAATTTCGAATATTCTATACGATGGCAGGGAACACGAACAAAACGAACCCTATGAACTTTTTAAGTTTGAAAGGAAAGAAATCTCTTGGTAAGAAGGAAAGGGTTAGAAAACTAAAACGATATTTTGTTTTTGTTTTTGTTTTTTGTTGTTGTTTTTTTTTTGCATGAAGCAACGCGTTAAAAACACTTTTTTCTGTTATTAGCTTACGAAACAATGAAGTTTGTATGATCAGTGAGAAAAGTAACAAAGACAGGAGATATGTTAACGAGTTCTAACTTCTCACTAAAGATAATGCATTTCTGAGCATGATCAAACAACAACAATAACAACAAAAATTAAATAAGTTTGTGAACATTACAGTACCAACCAGACCCAACCTGACACCTAAGCAGTCCCAGAAAGCAGTCCCCGGGA